GGGCTGAATTGCACAAAACGCATGATCGCACCGGCTAGCCTGGTGCGCGTTGCCATTTATTAACTTTTGGCCGGTGCTATTTCACTGCTGGGCCTTTTTTTTTGGCAGTTGATGAATGCCAACAGTTTGTTCTTCCTCGGAGCTTTCCGCATACACGTAATTTCTTTTGGCTTCCAAAATAGTTTTTCTTTTACAACGACCTCCTTCCCAAAGCTTATACGATGCTGTTTAGGTACCATTCGGTGGAGCGTTTTGTGATCCTATTACTTCTGTTACATGGGCCAGCCACTCATCTGTCCATTTCTCGCGTTTTAAAAATGAGCTTAACAGAAAATTTACCTTTTTCGATGAATATGCCTGAAATAGCCGGCAGTTTTGCACTAAGTTTTTTGACAACAGAGTTTTTTTTGGCAGTAAACCAAGAGATTTGACTCGCCAGATCGATGACTGTTTCAAGCGGTGATCGGATTTTTATGTGTATTTATAAGTGACATTTTTTTGTTATGCAAGCAATCATTCATTGATCAAAAAAGTGGTTTTTTTCCAGGCCAGATGTGGAATTTTGCGGTTACAATGTGCCACATCCATTGGAAGATAAAATTCTGATAAGGGTACAAACGAAACAAGGTGTAGTAGCAGCCGATGTGCTAGTAAAAGCGTTGGAAGAGCTTGAATATATCTTTGCTTCAATTGGACAAAAATTCGAGGATTCCTACAAAACCTACAGCCAAAAATAGCAGATTTATCATACATCCTTGTTGTTGTTTCGATTTTTGATAACTCACATAAAAGCCCGTTGTTTAGCAGAAAAGCGTGAGGTATCCATTTGTATACTTGTGCTATAAACATAGGCATCTTAAAAAACTTCTCGCGTTGTTTTCCGCCACATTTCATCTGATTGAAGCAGACAAAATTCAACAAAAATTGTAAATCTGTGAGAAATGCCAAGGGTAGCACGTTCTATTTTGCACTAAGGAAGCGCTAAATTTCTACAGAAATTTCCATAGCACCTTTTTTTAACTTCTGAAAAAAGGCATGCTTGAATGATTTTCAACTTTTGGTGAATGTTGAAGAAGTTGTTCGCTATTGAGACAACCAACCCCTCTATGACTCGTTCATTGGTTCCGATGGTAAACTGGTACTGACATATGCTAATGAGTCAAACCCGCCATCAGCTTTGTTTATAAGCAACTCTCCAAAGAGGGGACCATCGACAGCCTTGCCAGCGGATGAAATAGCCTGGTTAAATCTGCTGTTGTGGTTTGCTAATCGTAGAAGGAAGAAAATGTGCCCGACGAAAGGCACAAACCTTTTTTTGAAATCAAATACGGAGGGCGTTTTTTTTTTTTTTGATTTATATCAAGAATATCAAAATCGCCCCTAACAATCATTGTGGGCTATTCACTTCAGTGTTGTTGTTGTGTTCTCAAGTTGCAACTCTATTATGTCCTTAATTTATTGTTGAATTTGTTTTTTTTTTTTTTTGAATTCATTTAAAGCAAATAAATAGCACAATGTAACATCAAAATCCGTAGCATTTGAAAACGGCAATCCTTCAAAACGTGGTTATTTTTTCTTCGAATTTTCCATATATCGCATTTTCATTTGCTTTATGGACCCCTCGGCGGACTGCTAAAATTCATTTTAACACGGTTTATGCCAAATGGACTTCTGTTCGAGTAGTTTATTGTTCATCTGACA